GTTTTTTAATTAACATTTCACTTTTTTTTTTTTTTTAAAAAATAAAATGTTGTTCGTTATTTTTTTACTTATTATTTCCCACCCCCTTTTTTTCATATGTCTATAATTTTTCTTTGTTTTTATTCTTCATTTTGAACTTATATATATATATATATATATATATATATATATTAAGTTTCTTAATTTAGTTTTTTTAACTTTACGTTTGTTTAACCACCATTGTAAACCTACACTAAATTATTTTATTTAACAGTTTATTTATATGCAGATGTTTTCCATTTCACCACAATTTTTCTTCGTATCAGAATATGCGAGTATATTATTATATCAGTTTTCGACCAAAATATTCTGTTGTCTCCTTTAATATTCAAAATAAAATGTCAAGGGAACTAATTTAAGGGAAATATAGTCAAGAAAGTGTAGAATTCTTTTTTTTATCATGCCTGAGAAAAAGAAAAAGTAAAAAAAGAACTGCCTAACTTTTTCTACCTTAAAAAAATATACTTCCTTTATTGAAGAAAGAAATTCTATATATCAGATAGCACTTTTTTTCAGAAATTTTATTCCGTTCTAGTGCCTGAAGAAGTTCCAACTTTTTTTCTTTTCAATCAGACATCCTTTTCGCTTTGCATTTTTCTACACTGGGCATTTTAACGATACTCAAAAATTCTAACTGCCGACATTCTTGAATATCTTTTATTTCTTTGAATAAAAGACTTTATGAACGAGCGAAACCGATATTTTCAATGAGTTACGATGTTAAAGATGACACAGAAGAGAATTTTTAAACCACCGAGCATTAAATTTAATTTTTTACTCATGTTCTGTTAGGTGAATTTGTTTAGTGTATATGGTATGTTAAGTTAGTTAAAGTAAAAGTTATTATGTTTTTTAAAAAACTCATATCTTTAAATGAAACCTAATTAACTGAAATTAACTGAATTAGTTGTTTTTTAAATAAAATTACTCATTAAAAATTGTTTTTGATGTTAAAATTAAAATGTATTATAAGAAAATCTAAAATTTTTAAGTGTAAAATTTTCTTAAAATTAAAAAATTAGAATTAAATTTTTTCTAGGACCCATAAAAATGCGTTATGTACGTGAAATAGAACGTTAATAACTTCTATTTAAAACAAGATGGTGCCTAGATATTTTTTAATTAAGTTTAGAGTCTTATTTTTTTTTAATTAATTTAGATTATTTGATAATAAATCCTTATTGCCAAAATGGTACACAATTTCGTTTAACGCCTTTATAATTTGAGATAAATAATAAACTCTTATTTATTCATTTTTAGTTAAGAAATTCCTTTAGTGTTCTCCAAAAAAGCGTAATTGTCTTATGAAACTCATAAAGCAAGCGTGTGGTGGCTTCTATACGAAAAATAATTGGTTTTAGATTTATAAATGATGAAACCTAATTTTTCGCTCAAAACATTAAAAAAACCATTTTGTACAGTTAATTAGCTTAACTAAGTAAAGAAAACTATGTCGATAACATGGATGGTGGTGTATAGTTAATAATAGTTTGGATAGTTAATAAATAGTTTGGTAATTGGAGAAGTTATAGTAAAATCATCTTTTAAATAAAAGGTTTAAAATGACACAAAAATTGTGTTGCTTTGTAAAAAAAAAAATTGCCACAAAAATATCAAACTTTTCATGAAAACAAAACTCTTCAATAAATTTTCATTTATTTATTTACTTTCAAATCTGAAAATTGGAGATAAAAAAATCCATTATATACAGTCCGCTTAAAGAAATATAAAAACCAAAGTTACTTTTTTGTATTAAATAAAGCGGTTCCCAATTTTTTTCAGCAATTAAGAAAAAAGGGATTCCCAAATTTTAACAAAAATGTGTAAAAAAAAAGCCTCTGAATAATATATTTGAATTGAGTTATGGTGGCTCAGGGGATAGATCTTTCGCTTTCCGATGAGGTGGCTCGGGTTCGAATAACAGCGATGGCTGGTCGATACGAATTAAACAACCTTGGGGGGTTTCTGTGGTGTTTTTTGTAGTTATTTTCACTAAATGCTTTACACCATTGTAAAAACCCGTCTTTCGACAAAACATTACATCCATAGGTTTGCGTGAATTTTGTTTCCATTTTATCATCTTTAAGTGTAAAACTTATTCTCACAGCACATCGTTTTCCACATTAATGTCACTTACTTATTCGATCTCATTTCAAGAATCATTTTTTTAAGAAACATAGTCACGTGAAACTACCAAGCAGTACTATCGCTTACAGCACATTCATACCTCCCAATGAAATGTTCTATCTTCGAATTCCAGCGATGGCTGGTCAATGCGAATTCCGTAATCGGCTCGCACCGACCACGTTGCTGAAGTAAGACATCCTCCGTTACAACTGAGAACATTTATTGCTGATTGATTACTGCTATTACTATTATTGATGACGATATTTCAGTTACTACTGAGAATACCCATGACGGATCAGGGGTTCGGGACCAATTGCCGTTAGGCAAGCCGTGGGAGGTTTTCGTGGTTTTACTCTCATGAATGCAAATGAGGGGTTGGATCCTCAAAATTTCTTCTACTAAGGCAAATTTCTTCCCTTACTTAATGCTGGAGTTTTCTCATCTTCTGGATTGGGTTCAAAATGACAAGGTTACGGACCTGAACATTGATAGTCGTTAACTCAAAATTGGGTCGGCTGTTCAAAGTCGGTTATAAAATTAAGAAAAATACATATATGCATAGTCGAAATTGAAAACCTATGTACTCAATACTGAGTATAGCCACATGCTCAAAGTAGAAAATTCTTAAAAAGGACTCCTCATGACAAAATGACATATACACATCAAATGTGACGAAGATCAATCTTTATTAGATTATAACGATCAAATATTCGGAATAAAAATTTAATTAGATTAAAGTTCTAATTAGATAAAACTTCTTTTTAGATACTAGAAAGTAAATCTAAATCTAATTAGATTAGGAAATAAATTTAATTCGATACAAGATTCATTTGTTTTCATTCCAAATTTATGTCACAATTAAAGAAAGAATCGGTACTTTCGTACCTTGTTGTTTATTAACAAATGAAGACTAGATCTCAGAGCTGTTTCAATTTTGAGCATATTCAATAATGGTTCAATTGGGAAGGGAGGGTTCTCAAATTCTACTATTTTTGTTTCAGAGTTATTTTAACTCATTTTTGGGAAGTGTTTTAACAGTATACTCCAACTGATCGATCTTCTTCCGACGAGACCTTGACTTTATAAATAAAGTTTATCAACAGCAATGAATATACTTCCAAAAAAAATTTATTTAAGTACTAATACGAAAAATAATTTTATAGATAACAGTCTTAGAATTAGGTTAAATGATAATCCGTTGATTTCTTTTTGTCATATGCATAAGTTAAATTTGAATTAAATAAGCTGATTCGTTAATCATTACGAGATTTTCGAGAGAAAAAACTGTTATAACTGTGAGAACGGTTATCAGAGAAACGTAATAATTTATTCTTGAATTCGGTTATTTTGAATAGGAAATTTTTATGAGAAATACGTATGTATTTTTTGCGAATGCATATCGTTTTCGTAATTTATTTTATATATTGTCATTGGAATACATAGATATCTTTTTTAAATTTTGAAGTAATTTTTTATTTTATTTTACATAAATATTTTTATAAGAATACCCAAAATATTAAACAAATTATACTTCATTGTTCGAATACCCTTACAGTTACAAGTTTAAAAAATCATTATGGTAGAAAATGCTAGAATAGTTTGAATGCGTAGTTGGATCAGAGAAACGTAATTATTTATTCTTGAATTCGGTTATTTTGAATAGGAAATTTTTATGAGAAATACGTATGCATTTTTTGCGAATACATATCGTTTTCGTAATTTATTTTATATATTGTCATTGGAATACATAGATATCTTTTTTTAAATTTTGAAATAATTTTTAATTTTATTTTACTTAAATAATTTTTAATTTTATTTTACTTAAATAATTTTTAATTTTATTTTACTTAAATACTTTTATAAGAATACCCAAAATATTAAACAAATTATACTTCATTGTTCGAATACAATTACAGTTACAAGTTTAAAAAATCACTATGGTTAAAAACGCTAGAATAGTTGAGTGCGTAGTTGGATATCACTGTAATTAAAAAACTTCCGATTTAAAAACGAATCATATATCTGTAATAATATGTTTTATGATAAAATATTCATTGATGTATCACATGAATATTCATCTAAAATATAGTAGTGTGTACTATAGTCAGTGGTCGGAAAGATTACATTTTTTTAGTAGTTAACTACAACTACTTTTTTACAATTATAGTTAACTGCAACTCCTTTTTTTAAATGCAGCGACTACAAACTACTTTCGAAATGTAGTTACTACTTCGCTACTTTATTACTTAATTGGAGAATTTAATTTTCTCCAATATTCAAAATGATTTTGGAGAAACAATTGGCTTAGTTAATAATGAGGAGATATTAAGAAGTTTTAATTCATGTTTATATGAAATAGATTTTCGTTCTAAAGCACTTTTACGAATTTGTTCTTTAAACTTTCAAACTCTATGTTTTTCGCGACAGTGTTTTAAGAAATGCTAGGAGGTTATCAACTATTTGTGATTGTAATGCTTTCTTATATCCTCCAAGAAATAAAGTACAGTACAAGGAACAAAAAACGGACCACGCTGAATAACTTTTGATCTAATAACCGGATCTTCACGTTCTAGGACTCAATCTTAATGGTTTGAGAAAGTTTAATTATTGCAGACGATATTTTGAGTTACGAAATTAAACACAAATGCGTACTTTATAGTTCCAGGGAGATTGAATTTTAAAAATGTCAGCTATTAAAAAATTGATTTCTCAGGAGTAACTCGAGCGATTTTTCCGAGCATCAGATTTAGATCTTATTAACGTTCTCCCTCAGAGGCATTCTCATTGCAAACATTGACGGGTCAGCGAAGGATTTGCACTAATCAGATTCACACAAAAAATTTGTGATTGAACTTTAATTCTTTATTTAACTAACATTAAAAGTAGTTGCCAGGAATTGCTACTGACTCATTGAAAAAAGTAGCGACTGCAGTAGTTTCGCTACTTGTAGCGCTCTACTTCCGACCATTGATTATAGTTGTCAAAATAATTTTCAAACATGAACTCACCATTAGACTCAACATATTTGGTCCATTCATAATCCATTCATAACTCTCAATCGGATAGGCCCAACATCTACACATCCAAATAAAGTACAATTATTCCTTGTGCAGTATTTTAAACATATATCATTATATTTTCATAAATGTATTTCAATAAATATTTTTTTTTCAATTTTAATCTACTTTTTATCATTGTTATTTTAGGATGATATATTTCTCACTTGCTGGAAATGCCCTTAAATGATGTCACATTTTTTTCCCAATAATTTTGACCCCGTTTTTTTTGTCACAAAAGGACATGATTTACCATACCCCTACTTCCTATGTCATATGTCACTCTATATAATATAAACAAACGCTAGCAAATTCAAAAACAAAGCACATAATATAGATCATATTTCATATTTTATTTTTAAACTTAGAGTAGGTTTCTTAATGATATATGCAAGCATAATATTAATAATTATTAGATGAGTACTTCCTTCGATGTAAAATAAGAAAATAATAAATCTGTTGATTTCAAATAATTTTAATTTTAACCAAAATGTAGGATGTTACACTTTTTCTTACTCCTCTTCGAAGGTACATTGCTTCGTTAGCCCGCACAATCACCAGATCTCAATCCAATTGAGAATTTGTGGGATGAAATCGAATGGGGCATCAAACGGCTGGATCCAATCTAATATAATTGAAAAGTGCAGTGCATCGGATATGGGGTTCAAATTCGTCCTACCAACATCTCATAGATTCCATGCCAAGAAGATTTCGAGCAGTATTACGAGCTTAACGTGATCCAACAGTGTATTGAGGATAATTTGGCCACTCAGTGTCTATATATCCCGAATACATATATGAGTATTAAGTAGATGCAGTGAATAAAATTAACCATTGAAAGCAAATCGAAGTGCCTGATGAAAAGAAACAAACAGAAACAAAATTTTTTAATAGTAAAAAATAGAGTCTGAAATTTAAGAAGAAAAAAATAATTCGCAACATATTTTCAATCACCATATAGGAAGGTTATGAACAACGCCAGATTAAGCGTACGTGGGGCCCAAGGCCATTCAAATTTTTGGGGCCCTTAGATTAAATTTTTTTCTCTTATATTTTTTATTTATTCAAATATAAAAGTATTTATATTTGTATAAAATATATCTTTTCTTTTAAGAAAGCATGCTTAAAATTAAAACAAATAATAATAAATTAAATTTTACTTTATTTTATTAAATGAGAAAATAATGAAAAAAATAATCGCAGCATTTTGAAAAAATTTGAAAAATCATTGTTCTTCTTAATTTTTTAAAATTTATTTTCGAAGAATCCATTTTAAGAGGGCCTCCAATCATATGGGGCCCTAGGCCATAGCCTAGTCTGGCCCAATGGGTAATCCAGCCCTGGTTATGAAGAGATATAACTCATGATTTTTCAGAATAAAAACGTCGTTGATGAAAAACTTTTAAAATATATTTTGACATTTAAAAAAAAAAATTCAATTAATTCTATGTATTTATGCGTTTTCTTCGTACAGAAAAATTAATTCACGTGAGCATAGCTGCATTTTTAAGTTAAATATGTTTTGCAATCATAATTTATTCTTAATAGGTATGAGAGTTTTTCAATCATACTTACTTTTCATTTGCTTGAGTTATTCTTAATACAGCGTAGATACACACGGGAATCAATGGGAATACTAAAAGAAGAATAAAAGAAAAAATATAATAGATTTTCTACTTTTAAATTATGTTTCATTTTTAACAATAACGAATGAGTAATCCAATTCAAAACTTAATCAAAGACCTGACTGTGAAATGCTTTTTTAAAAAGAAGAAAATGTAAAATAGTACGAGAATTAATTTAACTTCAATTTGAATTCGTTCTGAAATGCTTTGAGTTGACATGTGCCTATAATGGTAACAGATTTTTTTTCTTTTCTTGTAACTTAACTAATAAGAGAGTGAAATCTAATTTCTAAACATGAAGATAAATTATTTCATCAGTTATGTTAGTGAGAATTGTTCAATGCAGTTGGGAAGTATTTTTATTGTGGAGATGCGTGTTTAAGAAAGTGGACACAGCTCAAAATGCGAATTCAAAAAAATGGACAATCGCATTCAAGAAATGGTCAAAAATGCATGTTTAAAAAAATGGAATAGTTCAAAATGCGTATTTAAAAAAATGAAACTATTCTTTTTTTAAAAAAATTTTTGTAAGTAAATGTTTAAAGCATTAAAGTTAACATTAAAAATATTTTAGTTAAAAGTTTAAGAAGAACATTTTTTNGTTTCCTTAATCAAAAACCTGACTGTGAAATGCTTTTTTAAAAAGAAGAAAATGTTAAGTAGTACGAGAATGAATTTAACTTTAATTTGAATTCGTTCTAAAATGCTCTAAGTTGACATGTGCCTATAATGGTAACAGTTTTTTTTCTTTTCTTGTAACTTAACTAATAAGAGACTAAAATCTAATTTTTAAACTTGAAGATAAATTATTTCATCAGTTATGTTAGTGAGAATTGTACAATGCAGTTGGGAAGTATTTTTATTGTGGGGATGCGTGTTTAAGAAAGTGGACACAGCTCAAAATGCGAATTCAAAAAAAAAAAAAAATGGACAATCGCATTCAAGAAATGGTCTGAAATGCATGTTTAAAAAAATGGAATAGTTCAAAATGCGTATTTAAGAAAATGAAACTGTTCTTTTATTAAAAATTTTTTTCAAAGTAAATGTTTAAAGCATTAAAGTTAACATTAAAAATATTTTAGTTAAAAGTTTAAGAAGAACATTTTTTAAAGTTAATATCTAACTTTATAAACAAACGGATCCAAATAAATTAACAGAGTGATATCATCCACTTGACTGAATTACTTAGCATAATATGTTTTTAAATTGGTCTTTTTTTTTAAAGATATTAAAAAACAAGAATTCTTTTTAAAATTTCGTCATGGATCTTACATAATTATGATAGTGGTATTAAATTAAGGTTTTACAAATTTAGATTTTTTAAAACCATTTTGTTGTTTAGTGTTTTGAATACGAAGAGAGACTAAAAAGTTACTACCCAGCCACTCAGACCCTGAAATCCGGAATATTGTCCTGTAATGATTATGCTTAGGGGTTAAAAAAAAAGAAAGATAAAAGCGAAATTCTTCGTTTTTTAGTCAATAAATACTGGGTTGAACATAAGAAACGCGCATTTTCCGCTACGTCAATTTTTTTAAACTCGCACTTCGAGTTGTGTCGATTTTCTTAAACATGCACTTCGAGCTGAGTTCATTTTCGCAACTACTTGTAGTTCAAGTTGTGTCTATTTTCTTAAGCACGCACTTCGACATGCGTCCTTAAATAAAACGCTCACTGGCAGTACATCAGGGGAATTTCGCCGTTTGACTCGCATGTGATGATTACAAATTATTTAATATCTTAGTAATAAAAAACGATCTTTGAAAAGATATATAAATGTATAAAATATCTCTGAATTAAATAAAATAGTTTCATTTAGATTTATAAATCTGAGTGAATTATTAAACTTCATAAAGAAATACAATTTTAGACGCAACGTTTCAAAATAACGATAACAAATAATGTTAAACACTAAACAAATGTCACGGAACCGTTAATAATATAACGGGTTAGTATTTACTCACTAAATCGTGCACTTTAAAAAAAGGAAAAAAATCTGAGAAATTTTTGCAGTGACTGCTACTTATTTCTGCTGTTGTTCCATTTAACAGGAGCAAAGAACAGAACATAAACATGCATAACAACACTAAACATAAACATACAGTACTAAGCATAATTCAATATTCTCACAAAATTTTAAGAGTTTGTATAAGGAGAGAGTAAAAAAAAATATTTTTCCCCAGATTCAATAATCTCGATTTTAATTATCTTAATTTATTAACAAAGTGTTCTTTTTTGTGTTTTAATTATACTTATGCAGGTTCAATAATAACTTTATTTATTGTTATTCATTGAAAAATGAGTATTTTTCGTGCTGTTTTGTTTTTCAAAAGCATGATTCATGTTAAGTTTTTCTGTTGTATGTCATTCATTTCAATTTAACTTCCTAATAGTAGGATCATTTCACAGCTTAATAGCAATGTCTCGAAGTTCTGAAATTTATAATTATGTTTTTAATGAAGTTATGAACCGTTATTATTAATTTTTTAAAGGCATAATTATTTGTTTTTTCTGCAAGATTTTCTATTGCGTATCATTCATTTAAATTATAATTTTTTATATCAAGATTAAGAAGAATTAATTTTACAGATTTTAAAATTGATTTAAATTCTTTAAATTCTATGCTTGAACACATTTTAAATTGGTTTAACTTAATGGTCATCAAGGCAAGTAATTTTTTAAAAATATAAAATTGAAATTATAATATAAGATTGGATAGCAATATTCGGGGGTGGGGAGCGTCAGCAAAAGGCAGGGGGAACCAACTTGTGTAAGCAAAATTAACTATACAATTGGAAACATATAACTCTCCATTCAAAATTGAAAAGTTTTATTCGCAATGAGTTGAACCGGGTTCGAATCCCTGCAATGGCTGGTCGATACGAGTTCCACATCCGGCTTGCATAGACCACTGTGAAAATGTAAAATATCCTCAGTTTTAGACGGATCATGGGTTAGAGTCCTCTTGCTGTCATGGGAGATTCTGGTGGTTTTTCTCTCCACGCAACGCAAATGCTGGTAAGTGCCATCAAAAAGTCCTCCACGAAAACAAATTTCTCCCGATACTTGATCCAGGAGTTCCCTTGTCTTCTGGATTGGGTTCAAAATTACAAGGTTACGAAGTCGAACATTAGTAGTGGTAAACCCAAAAAAATTGGGTCGGCTGTTAAACGACGGTTATGAAATGAAATAATATGTGGTGAGCTGTGATTGCACAGACGATAGAGTGTTCGTCTTTCAATCAGGTGAACCGGGTAGGAATCTCGGCAATGGCTGATTGATACGAATTCCGCACCCGGCTCGCACCAATCAGAGAGCTGCCGTAAAAAATCCCCAGTGGTAGACGGATCATGGGTTAGAGTTTCCTTGGAGTCAGACTTACCTTGGGAGATCTTCGTGGTTTTGTCTCCATGTAACGCAATTTTGGTTTAGTTCCATCAAAAAGTCCTCCACGAAGGAAAATTTCTCCCAATATTGATCCAGGTGTTCCCTTGTCTTCTGGATTGGGCTCACAATTACAAGGTTACGGAGTTGAAATTGGGTAGTCGTAAACCCAAAGGTGAGTGGGCTGATAAACGACTGTTATAAAATAAAATAATTTGTCGCTCAACAGAATTTTATTTTATCTGTTAAAATGCATAAGAAAGTTTGTTCTTGTAATTACAAGACATGAAAATCAAAGTAGAATGATTTATTTATTCAATACTCATGTTTTCGCTAACTATTCGAAATTTTCCGCAAATTATACAGAATTTATTTTTTATTTAATCTAAAGTAAAGCTTTCATATATTTTCAAGAATTTATTAAACTCACGAGAATGATTATAACTAAAATCGAGCATATATTTATATGAAGAAATATTTCTATTTATTTTGCAAAGACGCAAAAGATTATTTATTGAAAGATCACATATATCACCTACATGCACATGCAGACAGAGTAAAGTGAAAAAGTTTATTTTATTCCAGTTATTTTGAATACGTCTTTAAATATTGGCTTGTTTGTTTTCACATACCGAGCATTTCAAATTTAAAATATAAATATTATTTATGCAGTTTTGAAATGTAAATGAAAATTTAGAATCCAAATCAAAAGATATACGACGCATGTTGAATATTTTCCTTACGCTATAATTATATTTTCTATTGAAATCACAAAAATAAAAACGTTCTTTTTTTTCTTAAAAAATTTAATAAAATTTTTACTTAGGCATTTCAGATAAAATCTTAAACAATTGACTTTAAATTATTTCATTTGTGACTATTATTTATTATTTCATTTTTGCCTATTGTTAATTATTTCATTTGTGACTATTATTCATTATTTCCTTGTTGACTATTGTTCCTTATTTCATTTGTGACTATTATTAATTATTTTATTTTTGACTATTGTTCATTATTTCATTTGTAACTATTATTCACTCTTTAATTTTTGACCATTTTTCATTATGTTATTTGTGACTATTACTCATTAGTTTATTTTTGACTATTTGTACTAACTAGTGACCTTTTATAAAAGCTTTTTTCGAAAAAAAAAAGGCAGGTCACATATTTCATTGTTATTTGATGTCATTATAGTTTCATTATGAAAAACTCTACCATAAAATAACAATAATTAAAATATTTATATTTTGATCTTAACTTGAAGCTAAAACGGCAGGTAACACAATGAAATATCAACGTGACATTAGCAAATACGTTATACCGAAATTTTTAAAATACAAATTATTTCATATGTAAATACAGATGCTAGCAAATGGATTAAATTTTTTCTTCCTGTTTTTATAATCATTTCTTGTTAAATATTAACAAATATTAATAAATATGCTTTGCGTGATACGTTTAAAGATATTTTTTTTTTACTATTTTAAAATGCATAAGATACCATGTGACATTTTGATAAAGCATGGAATTTGGTGTTCAAAAATATGTTCGTGTCAGTCGTATCAGCTGAACTTAATTTCTTTGTGCCACAACAATAAATAAGACCGATTTTAATGAAATACAATATGTTTCCGAACAACTTCTTATTCTGAAACAAAAACATAAATCGGTATTCAATTATGCCGCTAACTTTGAAATGTCCCATCCTAGCTTTTCATAAAATATTATGGAATTTTTGTTTGATATTTAATGATAATTGGTAATTTAAGGATGATTTGATAATTAAACAATATGGAATCACTATTTGATATTTAATGTTAAATTGTTTATTTTTATTGTAATAATAATTATTGATTACTTTTTAAGGAAACTAATTTTTGGAATATGCAAAAAGCGCATCTCTTTGAACACATATTTAAGGTGTCTTAAACAAGGCTGAAAGTTTCCAAGAAACAAGTATACAGCTAATGGTTTATATGGTTAATTGGAATGGAGCTATGGTTCAATAAAAAAAGAAATCATTTTTTGCTGTGAATTCATCTGGCAGGGCAGTATATCGCCCTTTCCCCTATTCTGGGCTTTAGTTCAAAAATTTTTCAAGTGAGGATAGTAAACCTACAAATAAAATAAAAAATAGTTGTAAATCCAATTACGAGATGTGATTGAAGCTGGTGATCGATATTTAAAAAATATTGTATCGAGATTGGCCTTTATTAGAAGTTTGAAAAAAATTGTGATGTAATTTTTATTTACTTTCTTTGATTTACACGTTGAAGGGGGAGGTTGATTGTTTATATTTTAGATTGTTTGATTGATTAATTTAAATTTAATTTATTTAAAGAAAAGCCTTCAAAATACAATGCAATTACTTTTAGCTAATTAAACTGCTAAATAAACTGACTTTATTGCTAAATAAAATACAATTATGGCTTTAGGTAATGTCTCTCAGTTCCCGGTAAACCTCTCATCCATGGAAAATTGTACGAATCTGAGAGAAATACAACACAGTATAATAAAATGGAAATAATTTAAAGTTTATTGTGAAGCCGGGTACTATTTGATCCTTGCAAACGGTCCGCGGCCCGGAGATGGAGACCACTGGTTTTAAATATCCATCAGTTAACACTTACCCATCAGTTAACACCCACCCCATCAGTTAACACTCACCTTCAGTTAACACTTAATTAGAAATGAGTTAACACTCACCCCATCCTATAATGTAGAACATGATGAGATTTTTTTGCTCTGCAAACGCTGCTGCTATCAATTTGTGGAGGTAATACCCTTCACAGAACATCCACATATAGTTTGTCATTTTAAAATATTTTGTAAAGATAAGCAAAATTCTGCACGCTATCTAGAAAAGAGAAAACGAGATACAGATTAATTATCAGAATGATTTGGACAGAAAAAAATACAAATAACAGAAAAACTCATTAACAGAAAATTGCAATTTCTTATTAATATTTTATATAATACTAATTACACTGGTTATTGTAATATTAATTGCACTGGTCATGCAAAAGAAGTGCAATATTAATTACACTTTTATTGCATGAGAATTTTTAGCAGATCTTAGATACTTTCTCATCGCTGATTTCAAATCTGCAATTGCTTTCTCTCTCCAAGAAATATTTTTAATGACATTTTTAGTCTATATTTTGTTGAAATGATCAAGTTTGTAAGACGTTATATATTATAGTGGAATCGCTTAAATGCTGCGACAAACTTCTAGGGAAATCATGGCTAGGACTGGGCTATAAATCGATGTATCGCGACATATCGATTTAACTCCTTTATCGGCAGGCCGATACAGTGACTTTCGTTCCAGGCGTTGCTTCAGAAATCTGATTTAAGCCGTCAAGTAAAGAAGACGAACGATATAGCGATATAAGACACGAAAGGATCTCTTACGTTCCGATGCCAACTCGCGCTGGGGAAGACGATGTACGTATCGTTATATTGAAACGGCCTTGATTGATGAGCGGTAGAATCAGAATCAGTTTTGAGAACATATATCGTGATCTCGCATGTTCGCTTCCGCACCTCTTAGTTTTTTTTTTCTTCTTTGTCGCGACTTGATATCGTTTCTTGTAGATTATTTTCAATGGGACTGACTTTGTGATCGTTACCTTGTTCTGAACGTAATCTATTTTTGAAAAGAATAGATAAAGAAGTGTTTCTTAATTAATTAGGTAAATTTTTTTTGAAACAAAACCTTCTTTTTTTTTTAAATGTGAAAATTAATTTTGATATTATATGTTTAAGCATTATTTTACGTTATTGAATTTATTACAAACGGAAATCTAATTTAAGGTGCCCATAAAGAATTAAATTAAAAAGTAATTAAATTTGTTAGGCTATTTTTCACTTTATTTTAATTTATAAAAAACTTTTTTGGAGAAAATAATAATTTAATGGGTTTTTATTACTGAGTTTAAATTTAAAAATCTTTAGTTGTTTTCATTTTTATAAATAAAATTATAACAAAGCTTATTTTTCCTCTTTTGGATTTGGACATAAGTCAATCAACTTTGTTCAAAAAAATTAGTAATGTTTGCGATTGCGACTTCTTTTTTTAAAATCATTTAGCACTTCGTTTTATTAAAGAGTATGATCGTGTTTCTTAATTTTCTTTCAATATTGTCAGTTGAATATATTATCGAATATCATAATTCTTTTGTTTTTATTTTTAAGAAATTAAACCTTACTTTGTTTTTTCGTTCAGAATTCGGTAATTATTCAATTTAACTTTATTATTTATGTGAAATAATAATGATAAAAAATAGTGTTGTTTTAAAAGTGTTTTTTTTTTTGTTGTTGATTAATTTATTTAGCACTTTGTTTTAAGCATACAAATAATTTTTAACGAACTTATTTTTTAAATTTTCTTTCTATATTGTTAGGTAAATATATTGATAAATTTCAATTTTATTTATTTTTTTATTATTTATTTTTAAACTAAGAAATCTTTCGTTATTTGCGCGATCATTTTTAGAAAATATAACATTAATATCTTTCTTAAGCAAAACATATACATCAAATTCATAAATTGATTTAAATCAATCTGAGTATGAAGTTTTGATAGAAATCCGACTTTCTGCGCCTTACAAGTAAATGAATTTCAAAAATACTATATCGCGATACATCGCTATATCGCGATGCAAAACTGACAATGCATCATGATATAAAATTTCTTATATCGCCCAGTCCTAATCATGGCACATCATCAGATTGCGAATGAACCCTGACAACGTGATCAAGGAGAAAAAATGATTTCAAACAGAAAATGTGAAGATGCGAATGAAAAAGGAAAAATAAAACTGGAAACACAGAAGTGTCCGAGAGTGAAATACAAAATTAAGGCTAAAAAAATAAAACTAGATAAACCGCAATGACCGAGAGAGGCAAATTAGGGAAAAAAGCAGTTCCAAGCACTATCCAGAGTTTGGCGATGAACTCATGGCGTTAACAGGGGAATCTGCTTTTATTATGAAAAAAAGCAAGATTCTCGGTCATCAAGATGAGCTGATGTGATAGGGGTGGTACGAATTTTGACGTTATTGAAACTGGATTTATACCGTGGATTCCAAAATTGTGCGTTAGTAGATGATTTACCCCAATTTTTTATAATGGATTGTGTCTTTGTGCTATTGGGCTCTTTAAATCGAAATTTTAAGCCATATCTGTTTTTTCCGATGCAACTTTAGTCGACAAGATATTGAATTTATCCCCAAGATTCGAAGAGTGCGTGACTACAGACGATTTAGCACGTTCTTGATAACGGATTTATCTACCATAATCCTTTAGTTGAAATTTTAATGTGCATCTGTTATGTCCGATATAGCCAAGGTTACACTAGCAACGTATTCATTCTCTGTTTCCCTCTCAGCTACCGCGGTTTTCTAATTTTGTTTTGCACTATTATTTTCCATTTTTCTTTCGAAACATTTATAACAAACTACTTTTGTTTTCCTCATTCACATCTAGCGAATCTTGAGAATGGGTGCCTAGTTTTGAGCTCACGAAACATTTGCTTCTAAAAATGAGGATGGTAATTCAAGTTTACATGCTTCAAGCGCTTAAAAATGAGAACCCATTCTCAAGGTTTGCCAAACATGAATAACTTCGTGGCTTGAATTTTTGAGAGTTAGTTACACAGTATATTAAATTAAAATACTGAAAGCGGTATTAAAATAAGTTATACACAAGAAAATGGTTATGGCCTAAAAAAAATATAAAATTAGTCTTAACTATCTTAAAAAATCAATGTAGCACATTCTTTTTTGACTGCTAATCTTAAAAACAATTTTTAAGGATGTTTAACAATTCCATGTACAATTCAAATTTCGAAATGTCGAATGAGACAATGGAATGAACCATCTCACCAATTACTTCGAAAAAATTAACGTCCCCCTTACACTTGAAATTTTTTGAAAATATATATCTAATTTCCTAAAAAAGCACGACCCAAAATTTACAAATATTTTAGGTCATATACTTCAAAGCCTATTTCGATAGAGTTTATTTTTTTACACACTTTACTATTTTTTTCCTTTTGCCCTTACAAATACTAAAGTTATATGATTTAATTCATAAAGAGTATGATGATAATCGGGGGCTTCCCCCCCCCCCCCTTTTTTTTCTTCCTCACTCTTCTCAACAAAATAAAGGAATCAGTTTAAATAAACAGTAGTTTAATTTTTTCTATCTGTTTCAAGCAATAAAATGTTTTGTACAAACATATTTCAATTCTGGGGTTGATGAAATTATTGACACGATTCAATTGAGCATCAATAAAATATTCACATTCTTGTCTCCTTACAACAAAATATAAGAAATGTTTCTATTTCTATTTATAATTTCTGAAAAGACTAAAAAATATACTAAAACTATTTGATTATTATACATAAATTACAGCTCTAAAACAAGTTTCAGTCCAAAAAACATTTAAGTTACCTTATTTTAGTATTAAGGAAAACCTAAAGTAAGAAAGAAGAGAAGAAAAAAACAATTTTATTAGATGATAATTCTATCAACAGCACTGTTTTGGGATCGTTTTACCGTTTTCTATTTTTAGTGTTTGCTATTTAACGAAATAAGGCATATTGAGCAAACAATATTTTTTGAATGGTAGTCAAGTTAGGATGTAATAATAACAACTTTATTAAGCAAATTTTTTCAACAAAATATCTTTTTTAAAACGGCAACTTTCTTAAAATTAGAGAGAGTGTTAATTAGAGTTTGAACGTCAGAATAAAACTGCAATTGCTGACTTTCTTGCCCATTTAAAAAACAACGCTACCTGTGCCTTGTCATTTTTCGCGTTGCACATATATTTACTTTTCGTTGCACGAATAAATAAGAAGCAATAAAAAAAAATCAATAATTTATCATTACTTTTCGAAAAATAGTATGCTAAATGAATAGTCAGCTGTTTTGAATCGAGTAATTTTAACGTAGCAGAATGTTTTTTCTTCCTTCTTAATTTTGTTTTCAGAATGCTTTTTGAATGAACGTTCAGAAAGTTTGATTATCAACAATTCTGGGCTTTCTTTTATTATGAACTTAATAATAATTTAAAAAACGGGTGTTTAATTTCAAGGAAAACCGATATTAAAATGGTAAAAATATAGATTAGTATGTTATCGAAAAAGTTATCTATAAGGTAGAGTAAAGAATAAATTTTTGAAAAATGAAAAATAAAATAGTTGATAAAATAACACGCATGACTAGGTAATTGAAAGCAGTATTTTAAGATTAAGAAGTTTAAAGACATGATATAACATGTTGAGAAATTTTAAGATGTTTAAAAATGTCGGCTTCGCTTGTAGTGACAAAATATCAAAACACGATTTTACTTAAACATCGTTGATAGTACAATTTTATTCAAGGAGATATAACGATACATTTTATAAATACTTTTATCTTCATTTGAGTTGTAATTGCTTGATTATTATAAAATATCTATTCGAGAAATTGATAAATATATTATTCCATTTATACATATATGCATTATTGAAATTGTATCAATTATTCCTACTAAAAGAAAAATTTAAAAAAGACTGGATGGGATTAAACTCACGACATCTTAAGCATGGGTCCAACACCCTAACTGAGCAGACTATCTCGGACCAAAAAATCTTTCCCGCAACAGCTCGTTGTGTGCCAGAGGGGTCATCGAGAGGTTTCCCAATTTCGCGAACAGCGACATAATTGTGGTAGTGAGGTCAGCACTGCATACGGGCCATCTTTACTTCCCATACCAGCTGGTACTCATCGAAAAAAAGCTGTGTGGGATTCAAGCCGCTGCTGGGGGGTCAAACTCCAGCTCTTCTCACTGGCGTCCCTGTACCA